CCTCGCCAGCGGCCCCTGGACGGCATCGCTTGAGCGGCGGAGCCGGAGCGGACACCGGCGCCGAGCGCGCAGCCAAAATGGAGGTGGTGCAGGACGGCAGCGGAGGGGCGCCGGCGCGGGGCTCGCACGAAAGTCGGTCATCTGTCGCCTCTGCTGCGGCCGTATCTGTTTGGGGTGGCTGGCTTTGGGGCTTTTGTCGTTAAAGGAAAGCAGCCGCTCTCCTCTCCGGGAGATGCGCTACCGGCGGCCTTGGCTTAGCGCCGCTCTCTCTCCTTCACCCCCCAGCTCCCCACGCCGGCTGGGGAACAGAGCGGGCAGGATCCCTCCGTGGATTTTTCCATTTCCACTTGAAGAACTTGCGATTGCTGGGGATACCTGTCAGGGTGCCATATAAGCAGTTCTTAGCAGCTGTAAGGCGAGGAGAGAGGAGCCCGAGAAGAGCCAGGTCTCAGCAGCATCCGTCGTCAGGAGGCCGGGTGACACTTAAACACCCATGATTTGCAGTATTGGTTTCATTAAATTCGTAATGAAACGTCCTCTGACCTCTTTTTTTTCACTTAGGAAAAAGTAATGTGGTAGAGCTAATGTTTCGATACATCCACTGTGAACTAGAGGTTGATGAGCCCCACTAAAAATCCATCCACTTCCCAAAATAAATTTTCCTGTTATCTAGGAGGTTGTCAAGGAGCCTCTAGTTACGTGAATTTTTCCACTCCAATGCATAATTTTGTGTATCTTCCTGTATTTGAAGTTTGCACCCATTACTTTCTTGCCAGCTCTTAAAAAACTCCAACATTTCCCTTTCTGCCTCTGTTGCCATGTTTCTCTTGAATTCTAATCACTGTCTGCAGAGAGACATGGGATGGACGGCTGCTAACAAATGACATGGGCCATATTTGGTCCCATTGTGGTGACTCATACCTTAATCTGCAAGTAGCTTTATTGATTTTAGTATCTACTGTTTCTCCACGAGCTGTCACTGCTTTGGTGGTGGTTCATCACCGCCTTTCATCTCTTACAGTGATGATACTGTAAAATGGCCGATCTTCTTGAAGTATGTCTTCATCCTCCAAAGTTTTGATTGTCTTTCTTGCCTCTTTTTTAAAAAAAATATATATATTTTATCTGGTTCCACAAGTGTTGTCTTCAGTGGTTTGGTGTCTGTCAGGTGTCTGGTTTTTATAACATGGCATTTGACACAGGCATTATCTGTATACAAAGTTTGCCATTCTCAGCAGCTCACCATTTGGACAACCTTCTGATTTTCAAGATTGCTTAATAATTTCCCATTTCAAACGGTCTGATATTTCTCACTATTTCTTCTTAGTGGCCAGCATTCACAGGCATCTATGCCAGTGGATTAATGTCTAGCATTTCATTAATCTGCAGTGGCTGGATGAATACATTTGGCTTTGTACAAGTGTTTTTTATTTTTTTCCTTTATCACATTAATGCTGTTGAGCTCTTAGAAATGCACTAAGAAAATGCAGACTGGCTGCCATTCAGTAACCATAAGTTACTTCCTAAATATAGTGGCATATGGTTGTCCTGCCATAAGAAATTCTGGAAAGGTGGCTAAATCCTGAGGGACAGATTTTCCTCGGAGCTGCAAGTCCTACCATGAATCATTGTAGTAAATCACCACTAAGCACTTGAAGATGTAGCTGCTAGAATTTTTTTAATCAGATACACAAACAAAGAGAGCATCCATAAGCTTTCAGGAGAACTAGTTCATTCCTCTGGCAAAAAATAGTAACGTCAAGTGCAGTAAACAGCATCTGCAAGAAGCAGTACCTATCAAAGTTGTTGAAAATCAGTAGATTCCCTAGACCTTGGGAATGACACAGGTAGTGCAAGGTAAAATATGTATGAAAAGACGCTTTCACGGCTCCCTCCCCTTTGAGCTAACATTAGACTGGGGCTAAGAAACTGGGGCTAGCAAAAACAGGCTTGTGAAAGTGGTCCTTAAAATGGATTTGATGGCTTTTGGGGCACGAAGAACTAGAAAGAAAGAATGGAGAAATGCAGGACTGGTTTAGTAATGCTCATTTTCATTTGTGGTCAGCAAGTCCAGCTAATAATAAGGACTACAGTATATGGACAGATGAAATGTAAAAGAAAAGCTAATACTTGTATGCCTGGAAGTAAGATTTTGAAACAAGTGTGAGTATCCCATGTTTCTTTCATGTTTGGGTTTCCAAATATTTTTACACTTCCTTTCTGCATCTCTCCCACCACATTATTAGGAATAGTAAAGTGCCCTGGCAAGGGAATGTCAGGGGACAACCTGCAGCCCCCAGGGCACGTGATGAACAGGTTCACTTGCAAGCTGCTCACCACCTTTGGTGAATTCCTACACCCACATGCCAGCAAGTTGTAGGGTAGGGCACTGGCTTCTCCCATGAACTGAAAATATCTCTGAGACATACTTTTGCAAAATTATAGCCAGGAAAACATACCGACTGACATGGAGTTCATATAACAACTGCCCACCCATTTCATTATTTCACAAATGTGTGATTCTTGCTTGTGAGCTGTCACCATTAACATTTCCATCTGTCTCAATATTGCTTCTATTCTTAGTTGCTTTGTGATAGATGTAGGTGTATGAAAAAGATTTTTTCCCCCCTCCATGTGTCATGAAACAAAATAAATGAAAGCCACATATATGTATCCACACATTTCATGCAGGCAGCAAGAGATACAGGCACTTCCATGGCACTCCCATTACTAGATGTAGAGGTGAAGTAGGAAGCACATGCCTGTGGCCTCTTGGTGCTGCTGGAACAAATACATAATGGGGAAAAGCATAAATAAGTCAAAATCTGACTGCAAAAGAACAATATTACTTTGATCTCCTTTTGAATATGCAGTTGGAGAGACCTATTTTCCCAACCATGTAAGTATGGGAATAATTTTACTTATCATGTAATCCTAATTGGTCTTTTCCTGAGGCAATCTCAAAGGGAAAATAGCTGTGACACACTTTGGTGTTCAAAGGATCAGGTCCTCAGCTGTGTAGATATTTCTAAACTTAGACCTTTCAAGCTACTCATTGCTTGGACAAACAGAAAACTCTCTGCAATATAGGAAAAACCTGCTTTTGTCAGTACGTCTATGCCAAAAGTGGGATCAATGGGATACCTGTGGAAATGATCAGACATTTCACAGGATTCTCCAGCAGAAGCACATCTGGTTCCAGTCATGTTATTCCTGCTGTCATTTGAACTTCATGGCAGAGTGCAAATTCACAGTCCCATGATGGGAAAAGTCTTTTGAAATTGCTAATGGACATGATGCATTTTCACCCCTGGCACAGCTTGGTGCTTCCCAGAAAGGCAGGGATTAGCCATGTCTGCTCTGGGGAATAAACTGGCCTGTGGGGGCTTGGCTCCTGCCCTTCCTTTGCTAGTGGACACCCTTGGGGCCAGGGCATTGCCACAGAGCCAGTTCTGCTGTCAATGAGTGGTTTCCCCACAGTCACAGGGGGTTGTGTTGTCTCTTGTGGGGAGCACCAGTAGTGGGGCTGTAATGGACCGAGGTCTTGCCATAAGTGTCCAAGTGTCTACTTTCTCTTCTCCCTGCCTTTTCATGATGTGGTCTCTTTTTTGGGTTTTTTTTTCTTCCCAAAATAGCACACAAACCCCCAATTTAACAAGCACAAGCCATACACTCTGGCCTCCAATTTATTCTGACATTTGGCAAGAATGATTTTGCAACATGTTCATTAAGTCATAACGTTTTCGCTGCTTTCCCATTCCAGATCCTTATTGACTATAGCACATATGAAAATAATGAAGTTATTTATTCTCCAAATAGACAGGAGACCCCAAAGCTCCCAAGAAGTTGCATTTTTTATGGATGCAATGTATGCAGAGATTTTAAGGCCGTAGGTCTTCCCTGACTGTAAAAAAAATGGTTCATTTCTGAAAGGGGTGAAGAGGGGTTTATCATCCACTAAAATGTTAATAGGATTGTTCAGTTAAGGAGGTCTCATCAGACCAGTTGTTTCTTTTTTCTTAAACAGAGCCTTTGTGGGATTTGGGAATAATGCAGTAAAAAGTTATGGTAGTAGGTAATTAGATGGACCAGCTAAAAGCAATATGAAAGGGGGCTGGTAGCACAAGGATTACAGAAGGTGTGTGGGCATTTTGACATCCAGAAAACATTATAGATCTGGTCTCAGCTACCTCAGTCTCATGATGATAATTAAGAAATGTGGGTGTAGAAAAGCTCTTTGCATGGTTTGGTTGGATTATTGCTGCAGTTCAAAACACAATTGACAGAGACACCCACATTGGACATGATTGCCCTTTGATGAGGCAGATACTGACTTTTTAAAACTGACACAGTTAAAATTATGTCCAAAGTTTATGGGGCCACAAGCTTCTCACTAGACTCCATTATTATAACAAATGGCAAAATACAAATTGAAGCAGTTAAAAAAAAAAAAAGGGTGAGGCATGCTGAGGTGGAAGGGACCCTGGGAGTGGGAAGGTTTCAGAATTAACTTTCCTCTCACCTGTCTGGCAAGAGTAGCACATAGGCAGTGTCTGGGGGTTCACTTTGTGTGTGTGTGTGTGTTTGTGTGCTCTTTAAAGACAAATAGTAGGGAAGACCAGTGAGGCTGGATTCATTGATAACCCACAGTAAAGCCAAGTTCCTGTGCAGCTTGTGGGTTGTGTGGCAGATCTTTCCAGCTCTTTTATCTCCACTTGTTCATCAGCAATACAGAGATGTTACCAAGCTCCCATCTGAGCACTGAATAAGGTGAAATATACCATAAATTAAAAAAAGAGTGAAACCCAACCAGAGTTCACAATTCTTTGTCTGAAGGTTGTGTTTTTAGGAAGCATTTGAGAATGGAAAGAAAATGGTGGAGGCTGTTTAGATGGTTACTGCTCAAGTGTAAGACAAGGTAGTATAGCATAACACACTAACCCTTGGAGTGTATTATTCTAATATTAGAGATACTAAACCTGTACAGCTATGGAAATGTCAAAATACTGACTTCAACCCTGACCCTGAATTCAGGGGGTTTTTTATTCTTTTTGTGTGTTTCACTCCTTGAAACAGCAGCAATAGCAGGAGGTTGTATGGTGTCCCACAAGTAGCTCTGTGTCTGTCACTTAGCTCCCATTCAGATTTTCTATCAGGAATCAGAAACACATTGTCAAAGTACAATTTTTTCAGTATTTGCAATGCAACCTCAGTTCTATATTGTTTAACAGAGTATTCAAAGAGGCTTTCAGTACTTCCATCTAAAGCTATAGTCAATAATCTGACAATGACATTTGATAAAATATTCAGATTCAAACCCAAACGATATCATGAAAAGACAATGGATTTAATGGATTTCAGGTAAACAGGTGGCTGCCAAAGGGGGGGGAAAAAAAAGGCACTTATTTCTGAAAGCGAATACCTTTTGAAACCCAACCAACTCTACTGAGAATGGGATGAAGCAACAGACATGAGCAGAGGTCAAGAGACTGGAGCTGCTCATATGTTGGTTTGCTCTGTAAAATACATGTTCACT